GAGTAAAGAAACTTGGAGAATTAGGTTTCTGTTCTGCCTCTGCCACTAATTATGTTTCCTTGGATGTCACTTAATTGTTTCTGGAAATATCCCTAAAATAGAGGTTAGGGACTTCCCTCGTGGTGCAGTGGTTAAGAATCTGCCTGCCAATGCAGGGGACACAGGTTCAAGCCCTGGTCCGGGAAGATCCCACATGCCGTGGAGCAACTAAGCCTGTGCACCACAACTACTGAGCCTGTGCTCTAGAGACCGCAAGCCACAACTACTGAGCCTGTGTGCCCGAGAGCCTGTGCTCCGGAACAAGAGAAGCCACTGCAATGAGAAGCCTGTGCACTGCGATGAAGAGTAGCCCCTGCTTGCCACAACTAGGGAAAGCCTGCGTGCTGCAACGAAGACCCAAGGCAGCCAAAAATAAATTAATAAATATCAAAAATAAATTTAAAAAATAGAGGTTAGTTTATGTGAAAATAGAGGTTAGTTTATGTGAAAGTGCCTTTGTATCTTTAAGATTCTATAAGTGTAAGCATCTGAAAACTTTACAGCAACAGGAATACCTCCATTTCACACCCACTGCTCCAGTGGTAACTGTCAATACTTTGGTTTTTTCGGTTTTTTTATTGGTGCGTGGGCTTCTCTCTAGTTGTGGCACGTGGGTTTTCTCTCTCTAGTTGTGGCACGGGCTCCAGTGCACCTGGGCTCTGTACCTGTGGCCCGTGGGTTCCACGGCTCATGGGCTCTGTAATTTGTGGCACGCAGACTCTCTAGTTGAGGTGCATGAGGTCAGTAGTTGTAGCACATGGGCTTAGTTGCCCCGTGGCATGTGGGATCTTAGCTCCCTGACCAGGGATCGAACCCACGTTCCCTGCATTGGAAGGCGGATTCTTACCACTGGACCACCAAGGAAGTCCCACTATCAATACTTTGGAACCATACTTTACATTGATATTAAGCTGCCAGAAGGCAACCTGCCTAACCAAAACAAATCATGTGTGTGTATAGTATACGTGTGTCAGATAGCTGCCATATCATCCCTTCATCCCCACCAGTGATAGAGGTCCAAGCATAACAGGTAGTAATTCAGCATAAATACGCATAATTCCCTAAAGAAAAAAGTCAAGGACTTCCTTGAACCTCTAAATGCTTCAGTATTCCTCACTTCCAGAATTAGCCAATCACTTTGTTCCTCGTAATTCACTGTAATGATGATATATATGTAATTCATGATCATATTAAGGCCAGCTTCTACAACTGTCATAGAGGACCATTTCTTCTTTCTTGTATGCATGAAGTGATTACAAATAAAATCAAATAGGGGGAAGATTACAATAAAATACAGAGTACATACAAAACCAAAACCTGAAGTTACTCAGTGAGAGTTTTAAGCTCATCACAAGTTTCTGTTCTAAAACAAAAACCTGTAGAGTATAAAAATAAAAGGACAGGGCTTCCCTGGTGGTGCAGTGGTTGAGAGTCCGCCTGCCGATGCAGGGGACACGGGTTCGTGCCCCAGTCCAGGAAGACACAACAATCCAAGCATAACAGGTAGTAATTCAGCATAAATACGCATAATTCCCTAAAGAAAAAAGTCAAGGACTTCCTTGAACCTCTAAATGCTTCAGTATTCCTCACTTCCAGAATTAGCCAATCACTTTGTTCCTCGTAATTCACTGTAATGATGATATATATGTAATTCATGATCATATTAAGGCCAGCTTCTACAACTGTCATAGAGGACCATTTCTTCTTTCTTGTATGCATGAAGTGATTACAAATAAAATCAAATAGGGGGAAGATTACAATAAAATACAGAGTACATACAAAACCAAAACCTGAAGTTACTCAGTGAGAGTTTTAAGCTCATCACAAGTTTCTGTTCTAAAACAAAAACCTGTAGAGTATAAAAATAAAAGGACAGGGCTTCCCTGGTGGTGCAGTGGTTGAGAGTCCGCCTGCCGATGCAGGGGACACGGGTTCGTGCCCCAGTCCAGGAAGACCCCACATGCCGCGGAGCGGCTGGGCCCGTGAGCCATGGCCGCTGAGCCTGCGCGTCCAGAGCCTGTGCTCCGCAACGGGAGAGGCCACAACAGTGAGAGGCCCGCGTACCGCAAAAAAAAATAAATAAATAAAAATAAATAAATAAAGGACATTGTTCTCAGTTTCTGCAGTGTACCTTCTATTTGGAGAATAAATAAGATGGTAAATCAAAAGAAACTCAAGAAAATCATTTTCATTCTTCACTCTCCTCTCTAACAACAATCAAAAAAAATACATAAAGAATACAATAGCTGTGCAGCTGCTGTATTGTATATGAAAAAGAAAAAAAGAAAAACCAAAACAATAATAACTCCCTAACTGGGAACTGTTATTACTGTGTAGGATTTCAGTCTCCCCCCGCCCCCATCATGTGTAGACCAGCCATACAAACCCAAATCTAACTTTCTAATAACTAATGACTCTTGGAAACTGAACATATTGTGATAATTTATATTTAATGTGATCACTACAGTAAATTTACTCATTGCCTATACTTAGTAAATAAGAAGAGGACAGCACTCTGTAGATAAGTAAAGATTTTACAGATTAGGGCTACCATGACACTTAATATCATGTTCATTCAAATATAAGTTTACTAAGAAAAAGAACTGACTATAATGATATCTGACAAGTGTTAAGAAAATAAGAACATGTTCTCATTAATTTGCAGAAAGCTAGAAAAAAAGATCAAATCAAAAGATGCTTTTTTTTGTACTTCATTTTATAACAAAGTCATCATAGGCCATTTGTTTTTCCATTTGTTCATTTATTTCTCTAGAAGGACTTTGTAGTGTAGAACATTTTGCACCAACTTCAGTAACTAAAGCTAAGGGAAATTTATTTTTCAAAAATCAACATTTACATACTGATATCTACAACTTACCCTAAAGCGCATTTAAAAAAAAAGATGGCTACAGGGATGAATGGATCATTAGATGCGTGATAAAGCAAGAACAGTGAAATGTTAATTACAGAATCTAGCTGATGGTTACATGGGGTGTTCACTGTAAAGCTCTTTCAACTTTCCTACATGTCTGAAAATTTTATAATAAAATGTTGAGGGAAAATCAACTTTCAGAAGTTTGGATACAACTTTTAGATCCAAGAAATCTTACAAAATGTTACCCTATTTGGATCTTTCTTTGTCCAGGGATCTCTCTGTAAAGGAATAGAACCCGAAAACATTACACAGAAAAATACTTAATAATGTCTTACAGAATGTACTGAGATAAGTTGTTATCCAGAGTACACAAATCTGTAGGTATCTGGATCATGCCAAGTCCCAAGTAATTCAGAAACATATGCATATTTAAACATGACACAACTGTATGTATACGCACACATGTCCAAATAACATGCAAAATTTATATTTTTATATTTACCACTCAACACCTAGGGCTCTAGCATCCCTCTGGTTATCTATGAATTAAAAATCGTACTAGGAAAAAAAATAGTATGAGGTTCCAAGAACTTTTCAACAGAGGTTTCTGTAAAGATTAATCTATATTTCGTTTATATAATACAAGACTTTAATTTTGCTTTTAATATTACAATATACTCTGAAATGCACTATAGGTACATCCAGGATGTATAAAGGAAGCAGTTTAAAAATCACTACCCAAATACCAAGCCTCCTAGTGGAAACGAAGGAAAGGAGTTTTGGGAAATTTTACATCCAACATAAAAGTTTTATGAGGTAAACCTACTTGATGCAATTTATATGCCTGAAGCTGAAGAAAACCTTTCAGTGGTTTAAAGCCCAAGCATGAATCCCCCCCACCAACCAAGTTCTCATCTAAAAAGGTCGTGAACAGAACTTAATGATTGGCACCAAATTATACTGTCATCTCTGAAGTGTGTAGGAAGATGCTTTAAATCAAATTAATAATCTATTGACAAAAAGAGAATTAAAAAAAAGAATGTCCTTCAAAAGACTGAAGGGCATAAAGTGCACTTAAAAAAATTACTAGCTTGTTTGGAACCAAAAAATTTCTCCTACTTCATAAATATCCACAAATCGTAGTGAGAAAGAAAGAGGCAGTGGAGTGAGCACTGTTGTGTCCCATCTCGCACCCACGTTAATTTTAACAATAGATGAGAACACAAAAGATAATGCAACTGAAGGCAAGTGACAGGTCCCAGAGTATAAACCCCTCCTCCCTCCTGTGAGATATCTGATTACGATATGCCACATTCACATTTCACTTCACCAGAACGACAAGCTCCCTGAAGGCAGAAAGCCTGTGATATCGAGAACTCGGCTCACATTTTCCCAATGCTCTTATACACAGTGTACACTCAATCACACTGACAAATGGACCCACCTAAGATCTACAGAAGTAGGTGGCAGGTTTCTGGGACACTTGGGCCCGACAAATTAGTGACAAATTAGTGTCAGAAGTTACTCCTTCCTGTTCTATGCCTCCTTTCGAACTTTCCTCTATTTGTCCTTTTCAAACAAACTAAAGAAAAAGTCCTGAACGCTAATGGGTTTAGATTTCAAACTTCAACGGCCTACGGAACACCGGGGATGAGAGGTGAGCTTTTTACAAAAGGAAGAGAACCCTCGAGAGAGAACCCTCGCACCCACCCTAGGTGCCCACGGAACCTGCTGGACACTAGCGCCCAGGTCCACAGCGTGGGGTCCAAGGGACATCACTAAGAGGTTCTTGCAGAGCAACAACCCTGGCCCCGTTTTAGGGCCCGGGTCCCGGCAGAGGAGGGTGTCCAGCTGGTTGCGGGGGAGGGGTGTGGGCGCGACCACAGAGGGACTGGAGTCAGGTCCCTCGGATCTCCCGGGAGGTCGGGCACGGGGTGCGGAAGACCACCCTGCTCCCAGAGCCCGGGGGAAGCGCCCAGCTCCGGGCCCTCGGGGCGGGGCTCCTCTGGCCCCAGCACAGGCCGGCAGCAGGGAGAGCGGTCGAGCCAGGCCGGGACCCGGGAGTTGGGCCCGGCCCGGGTCTTACCATGGCGACGGCGGTGGTGGGGCGCACCCGAGCTCCGGCGCCACTGCAGCTAGGGCTGGGGTCGGGGGAAGGGGAGCACCGGCCGCTCCGGACCTACTGCCCCCCTGACAGGAGCGCCAGCCGCTTCGCCTCTTGCCAAGATGGCGGCCTCGAGCCACGTCTCCAACCGGAAACGGCACGGGTCAAAGGGCGGGGGGCGGGGCGCTGTGGGGTGGGAAGACTGTGCGCGCAGGCTGAGACGCTGGCTGTGTCTGGGAGGCCCCCGGCCTCGACCACCAGCGTGGAACCGCTGGCTTCTGTCCTTTGCCTGTTCGTCAGTGCCTTCGTTTAATTTGCGACGTCTCTTGCAGTTTATAAAGCTCTCACAGCCACTGTATCATTGGATATACAAAATAACTGTTGTTCATAAGGGACTAGTAGCCAGAATATAAAAAGAACTCTTAAAATTCAACAATGGAAAGACAAAAAATCCAATTTTAAAATGGCCAAAATAGCCATTTCTCTAAAGAAGATATACAAATGAATAATAAGCACATAAAAAGATGCTCAACATCTTTAATCCTTAGGGAACTGCAAATCAAAACCCTACTTCATACCCACTAGGATGGCTGTAATAATAAGTGTCGGTGAGAATGTGGAGAAATTAGAACCCTCATACACTTTTGGTGGGATCGTGAACTAGTACAGCTGCTTTGGGAAGCAGTTTGGCAGTTCCTCAAAAAGTTAAACATGGAGTTACCATGTGACCCAGGAATTCCACTCCTAGGTATATACCCAAGAGAATTAAAAGCATACATTCACACAGAGATTTGTACACTAATGTTCATACAAGCATTATTCATAATGGCCAAAAAATGGAAACATTCCAAGTGTCCATAACAAAATGTAGTATATCTACATAATGAACTATTAGTCACAGAAAGGAATAAAGTATTGATATATGATACAACATGGATGAACCTTGAAAATATTATGTTAAGTGAAAAATGCTGGTCACAGAAGACCACACTTTGTATGACTCCATTTATATGAAACATCTGGAGTAGACAAATCCATAGAGACAAGAAGTAGGGCTGCAAGGGACTGGGGGAGGGGAGAAATAGGGAATGAGTTTTGTTTTTTGGAGTGATGAAAATGTTCTGGAATTAGATAGAAATGGTGGTTACACAACCTTGTGAAATACTAAAAACCACTGAATTGTACACTTTAAAAGGGTGGCTTTTTAAGTTTTTTATGGTAAATTATATCTTTTTTTTCAAAAAAATGTGTAGGAAGCAGGGCAGTTACTGTGCTTATGTCCATTTTGTAAATGAAGAAAATGATGACAAGTTTAAGAAATGTACCAAAACTTCTAGTTCTATAATGGAAACAAGATTCAAATCTGGTCTTCTGATTGTATGGGTAGTCTTCCATGCCAAATGTCAGACTTTTCAGATTATAAGTGATTCAGCAGTTCTTCCCCACATTATTTTATGCCATGTTAGTGGCTTAACTGTTTATCCATTATTGCTGCAATAATGGATAAACAGCAATCTTTTATTGAGTGTATATTTTATGTCAGGTACTTTACACATATTATCTCTAATCCTTATACACAACAATTCAGATAAGGACACTGAGGATCAAAAAAGTTAAGCATTTGCCCAAATTCATACAGCCAGCAAGTGGTAGAGCCAGGATGCAAACTCAGCTCTTCTCATTATGTCACACTGCCTCTCTATATCTCCTGTGTACTCCTTAATGTTTGTTGAACACTTACAATGTACCAGGCATTACTTCAAATTCTTCACACAGATTATTTTACTTTTTTTTTTTTTTTTTTGGTTGCACAGGGTCTTACTTGCAGCATGCATGTGGGATCTAGTTCCCTGACCAGGGATTGAGCTGGGCCCCCTGCATTGGGAGCACAGAGTCTTATCCACTGCGCAACCAGGGAAGTTCCCCAGATTATTTTACTTAATCCTCACAAGAATTCTCTAAGTACCATTAATAACTCCCTTTTGCAGGTGGGGAAACCAAGGTACAGAGAGGAAAACCATTTTACCACAGGTGTCAGGGCTAGAAAGTAGCAAAGCCAGGATTCAAACAAAGGCTGCTCAACTTCACAACCTGTACCCTTGAGCACTGCATTACAGAATTCTCCCTCTTACTCATTTCAATTCCATTTCCAATGGCTTTCTAGTAGAATCTTTACAAAGCTCAAAAACTTTTAAACTTTACATGTCTGGAAGGATATATATCAAACCATATTGTTTATTTTTGTTATTAAAAACACATTTTTTAAAAATATGAACAGATTTTTTTTTTTTGCGGTACGCGGGCCTCTCACCGCTGTGGCCTCTACCATTGTGGAGCACAGGCTCTGGACGCGCAGGCTCAGCGGCCATGGCTCACGGGCCCAGCTGCTCTGCGGCATGTGGGATCTTCCCGGACCAGGGCACGAACCCGTGTCCCCTGCATCGGCAGGCGGACTCTCAACCACTGCGCCAACCAGGGAAGCCCCGAACAAATTATTTTTAAAATTTATTTTATTTAAGTATAGTTGACATACAGTGTTGTGTTAGTTTCTGGTGTACAAGAAAGTGATACAGTTATATATATATATATTCTTTTTCACATTCTTTTCTATTGTGGTTCATTACAAGATACTGAATATAGTTCCCTGTGCTGTAAGTAGGACCTTGTTGTTTCTTCATTCTATATATAATAGTTTGCATCTGCTAATTCCAAACTCCCAATCCATCCCTCCTCTACCCTCCTCCCCCTTGGCAACCACAAGTCTGTTCTCTATGTCTGTGAGTCTAAAAAAATGAACAAATTCTTAGTTTAAAAAAAACAAATTATTTTTAAAATTTATTTTATTTAAGTATAGTTGACATACAGTGTTGTGTTAGTTTCTGGTGTACAAGAAAGTGATACAGTTATATATATATATATTCTTTTTCACATTCTTTTCTATTGTGGTTCATTACAAGATACTGAATATAGTTCCCTGTGCTGTAAGTAGGACCTTGTTGTTTCTTCATTCTATATATAATAGTTTGCATCTGCTAATTCCAAACTCCCAATCCATCCCTCCTCTACCCTCCTCCCCCTTGGCAACCACAAGTCTGTTCTCTATGTCTGTGAGTCTAAAAAAATGAACAAATTCTTAGTTTAAAAAAGTAAAAATTCTGCCTGGAATTATTGCTTTATTATGGCAACTTCCAGGGGCCTTCAATATGGACCACCAAAGTTCAGCAAAGACCAACTGATACTGATTCTTTGGAAATATGAAATTAGCTGAATTAAACTGCAGAAGAAAAGCACCTCTGCAAGCATGCTTTGTGAGGAGTGCCTTAGAGGCAGTATGTCACAGTGGTTAAAAGCAGAGACTTGGGAATTAGACTGACCTGTGTGTGACTCCCATTTTCTGCACTTACTGCCTGGGTGACTTTAGGCAAGTTACTTTAACTCTCCTAAATCTCAATTACCTAATCTGTATATTGCAGTAACATCTATCTCATAAAGTTATGAAGTTAGATTACACATTAATAAATAAGATTATCTACTCTAAGTGCTCCTACATACTAAATGCTCAACAATACATATCCATTATTGTTAGCAATAACATGACAAAATATTTTTTAACGTTTTGCATTTCGCTTTTAAACAGAAGTGTCTCAGAAGAGGTGTCTCTGATTTCCCTTTTTAAAGCCAATTTTCGCTTTCCTCTGGCAGGTTCTCATGATCAAATTTCCAAAATTCTTTTGTTTCTCTCCCTCTGACTCCCCAAATTAACTATGTCTGTAGTTTTGAAATATTTGTTCCTTATATCTTCATTCATTCAATCCTTCATTCATCCACACAATGAGCATTTTGAAAGTGCCTGATTTATGCAAGGCACTGAGCTGTGAAAAGCTTAAAAACTAATTAGACACAGACCCTGCCCTAAAGAAGCCCACAGTCTTCTTTAGCAAATAAAAACGCAGGAGAGGGCTTCCCTGACGGCGCAGTGGTTGAGAGTCCGCCTGCCGATGCAGGGGACACGGTCCGGGAGGATCCCACATGCCCCGGAGCGGCTGGGCCCGTGAGCCATGGCCGCTGGGCATGCGCGTCCGGAGCCGGTGCTCCGCAACAGGAGAGGCCACAACAGTGAGAGGCCCGCGTACCGCAAAAAAAAAAACGCAGGAGAAGGAGGCAGCCACGTAGCACAGGGAGATCAGCTCGGTGCTTTGTGACCACCTAGAGGGGTGGGATAGGGAGGGTGGGAGGGAGACGCAAGAGTGAGGAGATATGGGGGATATATGTATATGTATAGCTGATTCACTTTGTTATACAGCAGAAATTAACACACCATTGTAAATCAGTTATACTCCAATAAAGATGTTTTTAAAAAATGCAGGAGAATGGGTTAAACCTGAATCTCAGATAATGAATAATTTGATAGTACTATAAGTTATGTCCCATGCAATGAGACACAGTGGAGGGGAAGGACTATAATGTAATATAAATACTATATAAGGTCGTACAAAGTGTCCTGGGAATTTAGCTAAACTTCCGAGTTTGCCTAAAGTCTGATTGGACTGACTTAGTAGGAATTGCATACCCAGTGCTCCTTGTCCTGGGGGAGACAGGCACGCCATATTTCCGGATTGGAAGGCTAACTCTTTGCGAACCGAAATTCATCCGTCAGCTTTGCCGCTCCCGGCCGCTAGATGCCGCCACAGACAAATTTATTGAAACTCTAGACAAACAGGATCCGAGCCCCTCTAGATCCTTCCTGGATCCTTCAATGCTGGAAGAGACTTAACGCGCGAGTGGAGAAGGTCTCACGAGAGTGAAAGAAAGTATCGCGATTTTTTCTTTCTTTTTCTCTGTCTTTTTTTTTTTTTTTTTTTTTTTTTTTTTTTTTTTTGGGCCGCGACTGACAACAGGCCGGTTGCTCCGAGAACAAGCCCTTGGCCTTCTTCCAAATAGAAGTGGCCTGACCTGAGATTGGAGTGAGACCCCAGCCCTAGGCTGGGGTTCTTTCCACATAGAGGAGACGGATTCAGAGGGGCTACAGGTAATTCGTACTCACCCTAGCAGAAAGAGAACTCTTTCTCCCTCCGTAGAGGAATAGAAAGGACTCCCCTTCCCTCTCCCCATCTCCCCTCCACCTCTTCCCATCTTCTTGACAACTGTTCTTTCCCTCCTTCCTTCACGCCATCACCAACCATCCTGCTTCCTTTACTCCCCAAGAAACTTAAGTGGGATCAGACATACAAGACGGGGGTGGTGTGGTGGGTGTGGGGGTGATGCTTTCGGTATTATTAGGTGGGACCAAGAGACTGGAGTTTACCCTGTCTTCGGGGAACGCCCCTCCCTCCCAGGTAACCCCAGAGACAGAACTCTTTCTAGAGCCTCTACGGCTTCCCCTGAGAAGCTCCGGCCGCCTTGCGAAACTGATCGAACCGGAGGAGACAGCCATTATCTACAGACAAATACTGTTTTGCCCTTGAGCGGGTATCTTACAGCTTTGGGGAGCTGCTTCAGAAGTTGGCTGTCGTTTCTCTTCACGATTCCCTCGTTCCTCAGCCAGCCTGCCAGCAGTTCCTAAATAAGGGCTGCAGCAGAATGACTTAACTGCTTGCCCTGGGGCCAAGAAGCCTTAAGGAAAGTTTGAATGGGGGGGGTATGGTGAAGGTTTCAGGTAAGACTGGTGTCTTGAGTAAGGAGGAGGAACCAATGTTGGTTTGCAGTCCACCTCCCCACAGAGTGCTTAATGTCCCATGATAGGAGCTCAGTAATCATATTTCCTTTTGCTTAGACCAAGACCGTTGAAAACCAGACATATGATGAGCGTCTAGAGATTAACGACCCTGAAGAGGTTGCGAGTATTTATGCTCCAACCACGAGACACAAAGGTAGTAAGAGAGGCATGAAGAGGAAAGAAAGTAATGGTTGTTTTTTGTTTTTCTCTTTGTTTTGTTTGTTTTGCAATTGTAAGTCAGTGGTTACTAAAAACCAAAATTTGTAAAAAAAAAAATGTCATCTCCAAATAAACCATGAGAATCAAAACTGCTGATCTCACGTGAATGACATGTAGCTTAGAATGACATGTAGCTTAGAACTTATAGTACTTTCTTAGAAACAGAAACAAAACAATTGTCTATTACCACATGGAGAATACATTTGACCCTGGTAGGTACCGCCTTGAGGGTTGCAGGATGGATTCATGATTGTTCCCAAGAATTTTCTGTTTTCTATTAGCAGATGTTGGCTTTCAGAGTCAAGTTACTTGCCATTGCTTCTGTTTTCCACATAGTTAAGCGGGGAGAAAACACAGCCACCCAGATTGCAGGATCTTCCATCAACCTAACCAGTGTTCCCCATCGCCATTTACTTCATGATACTATTCTGCCCACAGTCTGCCGGGGATTCATGTTTGTTTGTTTAATTTATCAAAACTCTTTTGCTCAGTTCTGAAGATGCTTCAGTTACCTGTCCTTAACCTGCAATTCCAATTGAAACCTCAACAGAATATTTTTAGAGGACTTGACACCATCATTTGTTCAACAGACATTCTTTGAATGCCTGTTATCTGTCAGCCTTATGCTTGGCACTAGGTATACAGTTTTTTGCTTGTTTCTTTGTTTTGGCCGCGCCACGTGGCTTGTGGGATTTGAGTTTCCCGACCAGGGATTGAACCCAGGTCTTCGGCAGGGAGAGCTCGGAGTCCTAACCCCTGGACCGCCAGGGAATTCCCAGGTATACAGTATTAAAAGAGACATTGACCCTGCCATCCTGATGCCTATAATTATGGGAGACAGATGCCAAATGAATAAAGAAACACAATTACAGATGGTTAAGTGCATTGATGGAAGCAAAGAGTTTGATGTTATGGAGAATACTGGTGAGGAGTGGGATCTACTTTTGATGGAGGGGTCAGGGAAGACCTAAGGAGGTGATGGTTGAAACTGAAAGGTGAGAAGGATTTAGACACAGGAAAAGTAGGCCAGGGCTTCCCTGGTGGCGCAGTGGTTGAGAGTCCGCCTGCCGATGCAGGGGACACGGGTTCGTGCACCGGTCCGGCAAGATCCCACGTGCCGCGGAGTGGCTGGGCCCGTGAGCCATGGCCGCTGAGCCTGCGTGTCCGGAGCCTGTGCTCCGCAACGGGAGAGGCCACAACAGTGAGAGGCCCGCGAACGAAAACAAAACAAAACAAAACAAAAAAGTAGGCCAGGAAGAGGGAGCAGCTAGTGAAATGTGAAAAGGCCCTGAGGCCAGAAAGAACTTGGGTTACTTTGAGGACTTGAAAGAGACCAGCATATGGTAGGAGAGAGTAACCTCAGAGGTAGTCAGGAGGTATAACAAGCAGGGCTTTAGAGGCCATACTGCTGTTATGCATGGCATGGATTGAAGGGTGCCAAGGTGAAAGCAAGGAGCCAGTTAGAAGGACTGTCGCCATGGCTGAGTTGAGGTGTGATAGTGGCTTGGACGTGGGGAGGAAGTTGAGAATAGAGAGAATTGGCAAATGTTAGAGGTATTGTTGTAGTAGAATCACTAAGACTTGCTGATGGATTGGATTTAGCTCTTGAGTTAGGAATCAAGGATGACATCCAGGGTTGTTTATTGTGGTAAACTTGCCTAATATAAAATTTACCATTTTAACCATTTCGAAGTGTACAATTCAGTAGCATTAAGTACATTCGTGTCGTTGCGTAAGTATCTCTACTATTTCCAGAACTTTTTCATCATCCTGAACAGTTATTATTAAACAGTAACTCTCCATTCCCCTCCCCTCCCCCCCGCCCCCCAGCTGCTGGTAACCTCTATTCTACCTTGCCTCTATGAATTTACCTATTGTAGGTACTGCATAAGCAGAATCATACAGTGTTTGTCCTTTCCTGTCTGGCTTATTTCATGTAGCTTAATGTTTTCAAGGTTCATTCATGCTGTAGCATGTGTTAGAATTTCCTTCCTTTTTATGGCTGAATAATATTCCATTGTTTGTATAACCACATTTTGTTTATCCGTTTGTCTGTCGATGGACACCTGGGTGGTTTCCACCTTTTGGCAGCTGTGAATATGCTGCTATGAACATTGGTGTACAAGTATCTGTTTGAGTCCCTGCTTTCAGTCTTTTGGTGTATGTATACCTAGACACTCAGGTGTTTTGTTTTTTTTAACCAGGTCATTGACCTACTTATTTTTTTGTTTTAAATTTTTAATTAATTTTTAATTTTTTAATGCCTGTCATACATATTTATTTATTGAAGTATAGTTGATTTACAATGTTGTGTTACTTTCAGATGTATCACACAGTAATTCAGTTATATTTATTTATTCATATATTCTTTTTCAGATTCTTTTCCCTTATAGGTTATTAGAAAATACTGAGTATAGTTCCCTGTGCTATATAGTAGGTCCTTGTTAGTTATCTGACACCCAGGTTTTTTGTTTTTGTTTTTGTTTTTTAATATTTATTTTTTTGTTTTGGCTGTGCTGGGTCTTAGTTGCAGCATGTGAACTTTTAGCTGCTGCATGCAGGCTTCTTAGTTGCAGCATGCGGGATCTAGTTCCCTGACCGGGCATTGAACTGGGGCCCTGTGTACTGGGAGCTCGGAGTCTTACCCACTGGACCACCAGGGGAGTCCCCTGACACCCAGGTTTTTGACTTGAGCACATTTTATAATCTTGCCAGCTGTGGACATTATAATTTGTTTTCAGTTTAGGCAATTTAAAAGGCAGAAAAATGGTGTTTAGTGGGCATTCATTTGACTTAGAAATCATTGAACATGTTTTCATGCCAGTTAATAATATCTTACATCTGGATATGCTTTTAATTGTTCAGAATATTTTATTGCTTTTATCTTATAGACACTGATTCAGATTCATATTTGTGACTACTATTTGCCAGGAACTAGGTCATTTCATTCCACATAAAATTGTTTTCAGTTGATCCTTACAACAATCCTGACTGAGAAATATTACTGACCCCATTTAGAAGTGGGAATACTGAGACTCAGAGAGGTTAAGTCATTTTGTCCACCTGATAGAGTTGTCCTATAAACCCAGTCTTCTGACTATAAATCCAGCACTCCTTTTGCTTTACTAATTACTAACCTCATTTCACCAATATGTAAACTAAGGGCAGATTTTATGCTATTTATGTAATGGCAGATAATCAGTTAGTATAATGTCTAACCTAATGCCTTAAGCATAGTAATACTTAGTAAGTATATCTCAAATTGAATTGACAGAGCCATGACTAGAATTCAGTTTCCTGTCTTTCAGCTAGATAGTCTTATAAACCCCGTTCCATAAAATGGTTAGAGCATAAAATATTATAAATGGAAAAGATCTGTCTTTGAAAATAAGTTTAACAATAACCTAGAGACTTCCCTGGTGGCAGAGTGGTTAAGACTCCACGCTCCCAATGCAGGGGGCCTGGGTTCGATCCCTGGTCAGGGAACTAGATCCCACATGCATGTCGCCACTAAGAGTTTGCATGCCACAACTAAGGAGCCCACCTGCCACAACTAAGACCCAGTGCAACCAAATAAATATTTTTTTTTAAAAAAACAGAACAATAACCTAAAGGGAAAACCTTTCTTCCAAGGACTTCGTCGTTCCGCCCATCTTCCTAACAAGACTATGGCTGACAACAGCAGTGATGAGTGCGAAGAGGAAAATAACAAGGTGCAGTATAACCCACAGCTTCTTGTGAAATTTCTGCTTTGAATTTTTAGTAGTTAATTTGAAATGACACTAGTTCAGTAGCAAACGTTTCTTAAATACTCACCTCCAGTGATTGGGTTCCTTTGAGCTCATGGAGGACAGTCACGAGCCAAGAGCATTAAGATTTTGACTCTCCTTCAGGAATAAAGCTTACTGTTATAGCTGATGTTTTGGGGAGAAATTTCATATAACACAGGGCAGTGTTTCACAAACTTTTCTAGTCATAATAATCAACTGGGGTACTTATTTAAAAAAAAAAAAACAGATAGGAAGTCCCTGGTGGTCCAGTGGTTAGAACTTTGTGGTTCCACTGCAGGGGGCATGGGTTCGATCCCCTGGTCAGGGAACTAAGATCTCACATGCCACGTGGCACGGCCAATAAATAAATAAATAATTTTTTAAATTTAGAAAAACATTTCCAGTCCCCACCCAGAACTGCCTAATCAGAATCTTGAAGGTAAAAGCCTGCAAATGTATATTTTGAGCAAGCACTCCAAGTAATTCTTATGATAAAGAAAGTTTGGAATGATTGATCGTGGCATTGGTTCACTGTCAACAGTTGTGATACTGCTAGTATTTTGTGAAAGAGACTTTAGTTTTGAAGTCTTAAGGCCCAGATGTCACTTTGGTATTATTCTGTGAACCAAGAGAATCACCGTTTCTGAAAGTGAGATGAGAAGACGCCTTAAATTTGCACATGTGCACTAACAGCCCTGGTGTTTAGGCTTAGCACATGGTCCAATGGTTATGTTTTAACCGTCCTCCAAGAACAGGTGTTTTGAAAACTCAGGTGAAGGAGAATATTTGAAGTAATGCAGAAAGCTGTAGCAACAGAGACAGATTTCATAGAAAGTCTAAAAGGTAATGTTTTAAGATAGCCCCACTTTGTGACTAGTGTGCTGTTTGACATCTTACCTACAAAGTAATTTTTTGGCATCTTGTCTGTGGTATATAAAGTCTTCTCCCATAGGTCAAAGATTTTGCAAAGCACTACTTTGAAGAAGCAGACAAAAGAAAAGTGAACAATTTTCCTAAATTGACCTCCTAATTTTGTATATTCACCCTAAATTTTTCTAGTTTTCATCATGATGTAGTCAATATTCAAGGCTCATTTATCTTTCCAATTTAATATGCACCCAGAATCAGCAGATAGGATCCATTTTTGAATAATCTTTGAGCTGATGATATTCTTAAAAATCTCCCCTTGCCAGACTGCTTCCCATGTGACCAAGAATAATTTGGGCAGATTTTGAATTAGGAAAGAACACTGTGGGAGATTCTTACCAATTGTATACCAATAAGGCATGTTCTGCAACTGTGTCATCAGTCTCACATGTTACAGATTAGTTAAAATATATTTTTATCTATGTATAATAACTCTGTGTTATGCTTAGAGGAGAATGTAACCCAAAGAAGTTTTTGATGTCCTGTAATGTGTCACAGTTTTATATGTCAGTAGCTGCTTTAATGTAAAAGAAATGTTAAATAATTTTAAAAACTAGAACCAATCATCTCTTAACCTCAGTGTAAGCCATATGGCATATGGAAACCAAGCTTGAAAAACCTATTTTTAAAGGGGACCAATTGGCCACCCTTTAGGTCCTAAGTGAGGGCATGCCACAGGCTCCAGGCCCTAGAGTCAAAGACATGGACCCTGTCCCAACTTCTGCGGCAAGCCCAAGCACCACCTTATCCCTTTTCGTCAGCTTGAGGGTGGGGTGGTGCATCTAGAACCAGAAGCCCAGAAAGGTAGGTCGTAATGTCAAGGACAGAAGAGTTTCTTGAGATATAATGTACAGTCATTGCATTTAACTTACGGGGGAAGGGAGGGGAACCATGCATAGGTCAGATACCCATTGAATGGAAAGGGAAAACCCACAGTCTCCAGAACTGCTGGTCAGAATCCAGGCCCGGGGTTGATTATGAACTTTCTTCTTTTGATAGTTACAAGCAGCTTACCCTGGTCAGTCTTGCAAATTAAATACTAGATTTCCTCCCTGTGATCTCTGTGAGTATTAAGATTCCCTCAAGTGCGTCTTCCCTACTTCATCTTCCCCCATTTCTTCCCAAAATAACTACTATATTTAGAGTTGCTTTCTTCTTCAGAAGTCCCTCAGTTTTAGAGTTGAAGCTGACTGGATAAAGTTTATGCAGAGTTCTCAGAATCTCCTAAGTAATAGGTAAAAGAGATATGTATTGGATAAAGCTTATACCCAAGCCTCGAGCAGAGAAAGAGACCATGGTTATAGAAAGTGGGGACTCAGTTAGTAGCTAAGGAGGAGCAGAAGGTTCTCGAGGCCCTTCTGGGGAGTGCTTCCTTCTCTTTCCAGTGAATTGGTGTCAGGCGGGAGGGTTCTGGTTCGAGCACTAGGAGAGAACTGGGTAAAGGTACACTAAATTTCCCCTTACGTGGACCTTTCTATCTCCTGCCCTATCTCAGAAAAAGAAGACCTCGCAGCCCACTCCTCAGCGGGGCTTTAGTGAAAACGATGATGATGACGACGATGATGACTCATCTGAAACTGATTCTGATGATGACGATGATGATGATGAAGAGCACGGGGCCCCTCTGGAAGGGTGAGAAAACCCCCTTGCCAAGGAGGAAAACGCCTCCTTCAAAACACTGGACAGGAGGACGTCAGTGAGAAGTGAAATTCCAGCAGCTCTTTGAATCTCCTCTATTTAGGATTATCAGATGATCAGAAACCCAGTGTAATGAGTTTTCCTTCTTTTTTGGCTCTACTGCCCGAATCCTGTGATGTCACTTGCACTATCGGAAACACTTGTGGGCTCAGGGATTTCATGAGGATTTGCTGAGTCAGTTTAACTGATGGTCTCTGACTTCAAGGAGTTCACATTCTAGGGAAGAGAAGATAAACTTATACACATACCAAAGCATTTCTATTTAGCAAGGAAAACATACATGCACAGGAACATTTCTGTTTTAGGCTCGGACCCTTTTAGGACGGGTAGAGAATAGGTGCATCCGGAACCCTGTATTGAGGCAAAATGTTCCTGCATGATGCTTCAGTAAAAATTCTCCTCACCATATTCCAGCTCTGGTGCTAGATTAATCATGACCCACCCCTGTAGGTTTTAATCAAAGTAGATTCTAAAGCCCATTCATTTAAAATATAATTAGGGCTTCCCTGGTGGCACGGTGGTTGAGAGTCCGCCTGCCGATGCAGGGGACATGCCCCGGTCCGGGAAGATCCCACATGCCGCAGAGCGGCTGGGCCTGTGAGCCATGGCCACTGAGCCTGCGCGTCCGGAGCCTGTGCTCCGCGGCAGGGGAGGCCACAGCAGTGAGAGGCCCACGTACCGCAAAATAAATTAATTAATTAAAAAAAAATACAATTAACTGGTGTAGCCAATCAGTAGAATTCTTTCTAGCCAATAAAAAGTATGAGGCAGCACTCTATGCAGCGTAAAGAACAATCTCCAAGGGACACTGTTACATTTTAAAAAGGTATAGAAGTCTTTATGCTGTGCTACCATGTGTATAAAACAAATGTTCCATAAGCTATCTCTAGGCTACCCTAGGACCTAATAATACTGATTACTCTTGGGAGGGGAACTTGGTGGCAAGGGCACAGGGTTGGAAGGGGACATAACTTTCCAATGAATACATGTTGTACCTTTTATTTCCTGTCATGTGCATGCGTACTTTATTCAACAAAGTAGTTTAATAAAAATAAAAAGTTACCTTTGAATTAACCACCTGAAGGCAGACACTAAGTAAATTAGGCAAATGTTTAATACCAGACTGACTTCTCCTGCTTCCCAGTTCACTTCATGAGTCTGCTTCCATGAATTATAATCTGGGGAAATATAAACTATTTAGTTTTTTTGTTAAGCAGCTCTTCCCGGAAGAACCTTAAATAACTTTCCTAGTCACTTACATACTTCGTCAATTCATTACATTTTACTTAATTATAGTCATTAATATGTACTCTACTACTTTTTTACTGTATACATTTCATGTATTAATACAAGTATTTTTAATAACTGTGGTATTCATCTTGACGTATCTAACCATCTCTCAAGTGTTGGACATTTTGTTTCTAATTTTTTACTTTTATAAATAACACTGAAAAACATCTTTGTAAAAATTCCTTTTTTTCTTGGGGTAAACCATTTTCATGTCAGAAATTAAGATCTCATTCCATCTTTTCTCTTCATCCCCTTCATTCAAAAAAAAAGGGAAAACAAATTTCTGGAACATTCTAAATTTTTTTTAAATTATGTTTTGGATTTTCTGTAGCTGTGTTCTTCTTCATTGTCAGAGATAGCTGAGAGCTAATTATAATCACTTTTAAAGTTACCTTGCAAGCTGCTGAGAAAAGGCAGATGTGGGTGGAGCAGAAACTAGGTCCAGAGTCACATGCCCTGTGGCCAGAGTAACACCCGGGCTGAACCAGGGCCCAGCAACCCCTGCTCTTCTCTGGCTACCTTGAACCACATTTTCCTTTCCCCAGTGCCTACGATCCTGCAGATTATGAGCATTTGCCAGTTTCTGCTGAGATTAAGGAACTCTTCCAGTACATCAGTAGGTGAGTACCAGGCCCTCCCACCCAGCCCTGCCTTGCCCTTTCCTTCCTCTAGTCTGAAACATGGCCATTCCCCTTAGGTTTTTTCAGCCTGAATAATCAAGTAAGTTTCTCTGACAGTCTCCACCTTCCCGTGGCAATGTCTCCTAGGTATACACCTCAGTTGATTGACCTGGACCACAAACTGAAACCTTTCATTCCTGATTTTATCCCAGCTGTCGGGGATATTGATGCATTCTTAAAGGTACAGTCAGAACATCCTAAAACTGACTCCTTAGGTGTTTCTTCTGACCTCTCTATCACTCTAACAGTTCCACTATACTTTCCCTGACTAGCAATAGCTACCTTAATGTATATTCTTCATTTCACTGGAGTTCTTAACTTGCTCTCAACTCCAAATTGTACTCATTGCTATTAGGTAATAATTGATTATCTCACTAGGTGTTAATAATTTGTCATGTATCTGCCTCCTAGTTATCCATGACTTAGCCTTATATTTAAGGTCCTATAGATCATGTATTTTTTTCTAGGTAGTACTTTAGTACAGCATGATATACAGGCATGCTTTTTAATACTAGAAATAATGATGAACCAGAAGAGTTCTTCCCCTTCAGCTTATTGGAAGCAAGTGTACCTTTTTATATCCCTCCCACGTTTTGTTTCTCTGCTTTCTTACCTTTCTCCTAACCAGGTTCCACGTCCTGATGGAAAGCCTGACAGCCTTGGCCTACTGGTATTGGATGAGCCTTCTACAAAGCAGTCGGACCCTACAGTGCTCTCACTTTGGTTAACAGAGAATTCCAAACAGCACAACGTCACAGTAAGATACTAGCCTAGCACAGGCCCCAGCTCCAGGGGGCCGAGAGTAGAAGCCTTGATAGTATTTGAACAGTTGACTTACTGCCTATTGAAAGGGATGGCTATGGTTTCAACCAGCCCTATTTTTTTCAGTAACAGTTGTATTAAGATATAATTTACCTACCATGAAATTCACCCTTTTAAATTGTACAATTCAGTGACTTTTAGTATATTCACAGAGCTGTACAACCATCACCACTATTTAAGAACATTTTCATTATTCCAAAAGAAACCCCTTGGGAATTCTCTGGTGGTCCAGTGGTTAGGACTCGGCACTTTCACAGTGGTGAGCCTGGGTTCAATCCCTGGTGGGGGAACTAAGATCCCACAAGCTGTGAGGCGGGGCCAAAAACCAAACCAAAACAAAAAGAAACCCCATACCCATTAGTAGTCACTCCTCTCCTCATTTCCCCTGCTCTTAAACCCTGGTCACTACTTCATTCCCTTTTTTATGGCTGAATAATATTCCAGTGTATGGACATACCATATTTTGTCTATCCATTTACCAGTTGTTTCCATTTCTATTAATTCTGCATCTATGAACGTATACAAGTTGTTGCATGCACATATATTGTTATCTTGTGTATACAGGTAGGAGTGGGATTACTGAGCCATATGGAAACAAACAGTTTAATATTTTGAGGAACTGCTGAACTGTTTTCCAGAGTGGCTGAATCATTTTACAATCCCACCAGCGATCAATTAGAGTTCCAATTTTTCCACATCCTCACCAACACTTGGTATTGTCTGTCTTTTTTATTCTAGCCATCCTAGTAGGTGTGAAATGGTATCTTATTGTGGTCATTCATGTCCTATTGACCTGCCCCCTTCCCCTGGCTCCAGAAGATTTTATCAGGGTTTCCTATAATCTTCATTTGGCTCCTGGCAGGCTTCCCTTTTCAGCAGTTACCTTGAATACGAAATAGCAGCATACGATGAGCCACTCTGTAAAAACAAGAGTAAAAACATCCTTCAGGGGCTTCCCTGGTGGCGCAGTGGTTAAGAATCTGCCTGCCAATGCAGGGGACACGGGCTCAAGCCCTGGTCCGGGAAGATCCCAGGTGCCGCGGAGCAACTAAGCCCGTGTGCCACAACTACTGAGCCTGCCCTCTAGAGCATGTGAGCCACAACTGCTGAGCCCGTGTGCCACAACTACTAAAGCCTGCGTGCCTAGAGCCCATGCTCTGCAACAAGAGAAGCCAACGCAATGAGAAACCTGTGCACCGCAACAAAAGAGTAGCCTCCACTTGCCGCAACTAGAGAAAGCCCACGCACAGCAACAAAGACCCAACACAGCCAAAAATAAATAAATAAATTTATTTTTTAAAAAATTCTAGAAAAACAAACAAAAGGACATCCTTCAGTGCCATCAGCCAGGCTTCCCCCTTATTTTTCTAGCAACATATGAAAGTAAAGAGCCTGGAAGATGCAGAAAAGAATCCCAAAGCCATTGACACATGGATTGAGAGCATCTCTGAATTACACCGCTCCAAGCCCCCTGCGACTGTGCACTACACCAGGTAAGAAATAGTACATTCTTTACTGTAGTAACCCATGGTAACCTTCACCACCTATGAAGCCATTGCTTCTGAGAAGGGGGTCCCAAGGCTGGGACATGTTTGAGATATATCAGCCTGAGGATCTATGGATCCTGGCTGCTACTGGCTATGAGTGCAGACATAAAGATTATGATTTATCTGGTATTATTACTTAGCCAGCTTCTCCAGACCCCAGGTCGTGGGTAAGTTTGGCCCACCCAGTCTATGTTCTCCTGAAATCCTAATGTGCCAGACTGAGAATCTCCCTTCAGTCTAGAATATCCTGATGCAGAGATTGCTGATACCGGCTCATGTTTTCTATTCACGTTTACCTCTGTACTTGTAGGCCTATGCCTGATATTGACATGCTGATGCAGGAATGGTCTCCAGAGTTTGAAGAGCTTTTGGGAAAGGTGAGTGGAAGGTAGCAGGAGCTAAGAAAGTGTGGCATTCATTCTAGGGCCCAGTGTTTTCTCTCTTCTTGTATTACTGTTATCATTAACTTTTAAATTGAAGTATAATACAAAATCAGAAACATACACATAAGTGTTGGTTAACTTTCACCAACTGAACACCTCTGTGTAACCAACACATCAGATCAAAAAAACAGAACATCTCTGGCATCCTGGAAGCCCCCTCAGGCTTCCACCTCCCAACGTAACTATTTTCCTGACTTCTAATAGCACAGATTAGGTTTGCCTGTTTTTTTTTGTTTTTGTTTTTGTTTGTTTTTTGGCCATGCCACATGGCTTGCGGGATCTCAGTTCCCCGACCAGGGATTGAACCTGGCATCAGTGAAAGCCTGGAATCCTAACCACTAGGCCACCAGGGAACTCCCTAGGTTTGCCAGTTTTGTATTTTATCTAAATATAATCACGTTCCTTTGTGTCTTATTTGCTCATCTATATTGTTCATCCATATGGAGAGTCATCCATATTGTTCGTACATCATGGTTATATATTTGTTCTCACAACTGTATGGTATTACATTGTTTAAATATATCCATTCTATGAAAGCCATTTGGGTAGTTTCCAGTGTGGGGATATTACAAATTACTCCGTAATATTACTGTCCTATTACTATGAGTACATACCTTTTGATGAACATATGTACTTTTTGTATTATCACTTTAGACTCCACCTTTTCCACAGAGGTGTATATTGCTATTCTAAGAAGCTGAAGTCCTATTCATAATGATCCTAAATTTTTAAAAAGTGCCCAGGAATATATTTAATAAGAAATTGTCAAGACTTTTTTGAAAACCAATTATAAAACTTTAGTGAAGGGAAGACACAAGCTCTGAATGAATGAGGAGTCAAGCCATGTTCCTGGAAGGGAGGGGTCAATCGCTCAGCACTGTCAGTCCTCCCCAGTTCACCGTGGAAATGGAAGGCCGTTTCAATTAGGATTTTAACTGCATTGTTTTAGAAATTGAAAATTCGGTAACAAAGTTTATCTGAGAGAATCAATTTTTAAGACTAATCATGAAAATTTTAGGGAAAGGAGGATTTGCCCTGTCAGACATTAGAAACACATTATAAAGCTGTAGTAAATAAAACAATAATGTACTGGTTAGGAATAGAAATAGATCAGCAGCACATAACAATCCAGAAACAAACCCATGTAAATGTAGAAATTTGTTGTATAAGAAAGACGGTTATTTTAAATGATTAGAGGGACTTCCCTGGTGGTCCAGTGGTTAAGATTCCGCACTTCCAATGCAGGGGGCGTGGGTTCGATCCCTGGTCGGGGAACTAAGATCCCACATGCTGTGTGGCCAAAAGAAAAAAAAAAACAAACTAGTTGGGAATTAAATGATTAGAGATAGGATGGGTTGTGATGAGATGATTGACCAGCCATTTGAGAAAAATTAAATAGATCTAAGCCTCAACCATATGCATACAGGAATTCCAAATGAATTAAACAGTTAAAACAAAAAACTATACAGGACTTGCCTGGCGGTCCAGTGGTTAAGACTCCACGCTCTCAAAGCAGGGGACATGGGTTCGAGCCCTGATCGTGGAACTAAGATCCCGCATGCCACGTGGTGCAGCTAAGAAGAAAAAAAGTTACTTACATATATATGTGACAACATTACTGTCCAAGCAAAAAGCTCTTACATATCAAGAAAAGAAAACTGAGCAAAGATGATAAGAGGTCCTTCCTGGCCATGGTGTTTAAAATTGCTTCACCACGTTCCCCAAGCTCTTTCC